GTAAGGGTAAAAAGCATCACTGCAGGTGTATCTCTTGATCTAAGACAGGCATGGTCCCCACAGGCAATCGGCCACACAAAAATTAAATAGAAAAGGGGGACCTGTGGGAAGCAGTAGCCATCTTGTAACTATGTTGCTTAAGCTTTTGTTCCTCTTACCTAAACCTCCATCTTGTGGGCTTCCCTTAGTGTTTAAGTTTCACATTCCTCCTAGTTATGAGGCTAGCCTGCAGCCTCGTCTCCATGGTTACTCTGGAGACCTCAGCCCTCAGAACTTTCCGCCCTTGTTTATAAGCAACTGCCTTGTAGCTAATAAACGAGACTTGATCAGATCCTTGACTTGTCTCCATTCTCCGTGTCTCCTGTCTCTCTTTTTTAATCCCCACTCCCTCCCTAGGGTCTCCATTGCTCATTCCATGGGTCGGGACAATTGTAAAGGCCATAAACACTGAAGAAACTGCATCAACTACTGGGCAAAACAATAAGCTAGCATCAAAATGGCAGAATTAAATTCACACATAATACTAATAACCTTAAATGTAAATGGGCTAAATGTTCCACTCAAAAGAAACAGACTGGCAAATTGGATAGAGTCAAGACCAATTGGTATGCTGTTTTTGGGAGACCCATCTCATGTGCAAAGACACACATAGGCTCAAAACTAAGGAATGGAAGAAGATTTACCAAGCAAATAGACTTTAAACCACCAAAGAGCAAAAGAAACCAAGAAGGGCATTACATAATGGTAAAGGGATCAATGCAACAGAAAGACCTAACTAACCTAAATTTGCACCCAATACAGGAGCACCCAGATACATAAAGCAAGTTCTTAATGACCTACAAAGACACTAAGACTCCAACACAATAATAAAGTAAGACTTTAACACCCCACTGTCAATATTAAACAGATCAACAAGACAAAATTAACAAGGTTATCCAAGACTTGAACTCACATCTGGACCAAGTGGACTTATTAGACATCTATAGAACTCTCCACCCCAGGTCCTCAGAATATACATTCTTCTCAGCAAGACATCATACTTACTCAAAAATTGACCACATAATTGGAAGGAAATCACTCAGCAAATGCAAAAGAACAGAAATCATAATCTCTCAGGCCACAGGGCAATCAAATTAGAACTCAGGATTAAGAAACACTCAAAACTGCACAACTACATGGACACTGAACAACCTGCTTCTGAATGACTATTGGATAAATATTGAAATCAAGGTAAGAATAAAAATGTTCTTCGAAAACAAGAACGAAGACAACATGTACCAGAATCTCTGGGACACATTTAGTGTCTATGGAGAAATTTATAGCACTGCATACCCACATGAGAAGTGAGGAAAGATCTAAAATGGATACCTTATCATCACAATTAAAAGAAATAGAGGAGCAAGATCAAATGAATTCAAAAGCTAGCAGAAGACAAGAAGTAACTAAGTTCAGAGCAGAACTGAAGGAGACAGAGACATGAAAACCCATTAAAAAAAAAATCAGTGACTCCAGTAGCTGGTTTTTTGAAAAGACCAACAAAGTAGAACACTAACCAGACTAATAGAAAAGAGAGAATAGATGGAATAAAAAGCAATAAAGGGGATATCACCACTGATCTTACAGAAATAAAAACCATCAGAGGTTACTACAAACACCTCTTGCAGATAAACCAGTAAATCTAGATGATACGGACACATACACCCCCCAAGGCTAAACCAGGAAGAAATTAAATCCCTGAGGAGACCAATAACAAGATCTGAAATTGAGGCAGCAATTAATGGCCTACCAAACAAAAGTCCAGAACCAGACAGGTTCACAGCCGAATTCTACCATAGGTAAAAAGAGGAGATGGTACCGTTCTTTCTGAAACTATTCCAAGCAATACAAAAAGAGGGAATCCTGCCTAACTCATTTTATGAAACCAACATCATCCCAATACCAAAACGTGGCAGAGACACAACTAAAGAAAATTTTAGGCTGATATTCATGATGAGCATCGATGGGAAAATCCTCAATAAAATACTGGCAAACTGAGTCCAACAGCAAATCAGTAAGCTTATCAATCATAAGTCAGCTTGATCCCTGAAATGCAAGGCTGGTTAAACATACACAAATCTATAAACATAATCTACCACATAAACAGAACCAAGATAAAAACCACATGATTATCTCAATAGATGGAGAGAATGCCTTCGACAAAATTCAACAGCCTTTATGCTAAAAACTCTCAGTAAACTAGGTATCGATGGAACATGTCTCAAAATAAGAGCTATTTATGACAAACAGACAATAACACTGTATGGGCAAAACCTGGAATTATTACCTTTGAAAACCAGCACAAGACAAGGTTGCCTTCTCTCACTATTTCTTTCAATACTCAACATAGTATTGAAAGTTCTGGTCAGGGCAATGAGGCAAGAAAAAGAAATCATACTCAACTAGGAAAAGAGGAAGTCAAATGGTCTCTATTTGCAGATGACATGACTGTGTATTTAGAAGACCCCATCTTCTCAGCCCAAAACCTCCTTAAGCTGATAAGCAAATTCAGCAAAGTCTTAAGAATACATGATCAGTGTGCAAAAGTCACAAGCATTGCTATAAACCAATAACAGACAGCCAAATCATGAGTGAACTCCCACTCACAATAGTTACAAAGAGTAAAATATCTAGGAATACATTTAACAAGGGATGAAAGGACCTCTTGAAAGAGAGCTAAAAACTATTGCTCAAGGAAATAAGATAACAGAGACAGATGGAAAAATGTTCCATGCTCATGGTTAGGAAGAATCAATTTTGTAAAAATGTCCATTATACATTCAATGCTACCTATCAAACTACCATTGACTTTTTTCACAAAATTGGAAAAAACTACCTTACACTTCATATGGAACCAAAAGAGCCTGCATAGGCAAGACAATCCTAAGCAAAACAAAAACAAAGCAAGAGCCACCATACTACCTGACTTCAAACTACACTACAAGGCTACAGTAATCAAACAACAGAGCTATAGACCAATGGAATAGAAGAGAGGCCTCAGAGGCAATGCCACACATCTACAACCATCTGATGTTTGACAAACCTGACAAAAACAACCAATGGGGAAAGGATTCCCTGTTTAATAAATGGTGTTGGGAAAACTGGCTAGTCCTATGCAGAAAGCTGAAACTGCATCTTTTCTTTACATCTTAGACACAAATTAACTCCATTGGATTAAAGATTTAAACATTAGACCTAACACCATAAAAACCCTAGAAGAACTCCTAGGCAATACCATTGAGGACATAGGCATAGGCAAGAACTTCATGACTAAAACACCAAAAACAATGGCAACAAAAGCCAAAATAGACAAGTGGGATCTAATTAAACTAAAGAGCTTCTGCACAGCAAAAGAAACAATTACAGTGAACCAGCAACCAACAGAATGGGGAAAAAATTTTGCAATTTACCCATCTGACAAAGGGCTAATATCCAGGATCTAGAAAGAAATTTAACAAATTTACAAGAAAAAACCAATTCAAAAATTGGGCAAAGGATATGAGCAAACACTTTTTAGAAGAATACATTTATGCAGCCAACAAACATGAAAAAAAGCTCATTATCACTGGTCATTAGAGAAATGCAAATCAAAATCATATTGAGATACCATCTCATGACATTAAGAATGGCGATTATTAAATCAGGAGACAACAGATGATCGAGAGGATGTGGAGAAACAGGAACGCATTTACACTATTGGCAGGAGTGTAAATTAGTTCAGCCACTGTGGAAGACAGTGTGGCAATTCCTCAAGGATATAGAACTAGCAATACCATTTGACGCAGCTATCTCATTACTGGGTATATACCCAAAGGATTATAAATCATTCTATTGTAAAGACACATGCACACACATGTTTATTACAGCACTGTTTACAATAGCAAAGACTTGGAACCAACCCAAATGCCCATCAATGATAGACTGGATAAAGATGTGGCACAAAATACACTGTGGACTACTGTGCAGCCATAAAAAAGGATGGGTTCATGTCCTTTGCAGGGACATGGATGAAACTGGAAACCATCCTCAGAAAACTGACACAACAGAAAACCAAACACTGCAGGTTCTCATAAGTGGGTGTTGAACAATAAGAACACAGGGAGGGGAACATCACACACCAGGGCCTGTCGGGAATAAGGGAGGGATAGCAGGGGGTGGAGGGATTGGAGAGAGAGAAAATTAGGAGAACTACCTAATGTAGATGACAGGGGGACGGATGCAGCAAATCACTATGGCACATGTATACCTAGGTAATAAATCTGCACATTCTGCATATGGACCCCAGAACTTAGTATAATTTTGAAAATTAAATTAGATGCAATTTTGTTATGCTACCCAGGTGGTTCTTAAACTCTGAAGTAGCTGGGACTATAGGTATATATCACCACACCCAGCTATTTTTTCCTACAATTTTAAATATTTCAGTCTCATGACAGAGCCAGTAATATAAGTAGAGAAACAATCTCTCCTGCCAAATATGTAATACCCAAATAATGTTTCCAAGAAAACAGCTGTATGTTATTTGTTATACAGTTTTTTAACTAAAAGGTGCCAGGGAGATTCCATGATTACCACACGTAATTTGATCCACTGAAAGTTAATATTGGCAAAAGTATAGATGTCATACTAGTATGATTTAAAAGTCAAAAGTATTAATATTTAATAAAACCTTAACCGAATTTTATATTTTCTCTATTGGGGAAAGCATTTTCTAATGTAATTTTTCTGTTTCTATGTATCTTCCAGTCCATTTTTATTCAGCCCCCACCCTGTTACAGTTCTTATCAATCTTTTGTTCATTACCAACGTTAAATAAAATTTTTTAATTGACTAGCCATATGTCTATGGTTTTCTATGACCAACAGTCCATAACCATCATAAAACAGTAATAGGTAAACCACTGCCAAATTTTAAAAGTTAACACTATGCAAAAGTTGACTGAGTGAGAAAATTTTACATTTTACCTTGGTAGTAACAGTCAAGTTTTCATCATCTGGTTTCAAGCATGAATCCACACACGGTTCATGGAAAATGCTTTAGAGAAAAAATATACAATATAAATGAACAAGTTGATGATGATGATTATTATTATTACAAACTTTTTACCTGCCAGTTCATACTCAGCTCCCCCCTCCAAAAAACAAAAACACAATCTGGAAAAAGGTCAGCGATCTGTCTATTAAATAACCTATTCTAAAAATAGATTTTAGTTACCTATTTCTGCCTCCAGCTGTCTTAATCTATAAAATATTTATTGAAAACTAACTTTGAGCTCCATAACAAATAGTGACAGCCAATATATTGGCAGAGCTTGACAGTAATTTACTCTCACAAATTCTCTGTCCTGAAGCAGAACATGAAATTCAATTAACTGCTGACCTAACTTTTGTCACCTAAACTGGAAGGAACCTTATGACCTAAAACAAGGTAGAAAGACCCACTCTCTTTTTCATTATCTATTTCTGGTTAAAAGAGTCATCTGTGTCACTTTGAAATGGCAGACTTGATTCCTCAGCATGAAAACCAGTCAAGGTCCAAATGCTCTTTTTTGTCCTGAGTACAGAGAATCCTTTACTATATTTGAAATGTATGAGAGCTAAATGTACCAAAGTCTAAAAATGAAGGTGTATTTTCTTACTGAGGATACTCTTCCCAGAAAGATTAAAACATTAGCAATTATAAAAATCCAATTATTTTTACTCTATTGATCCTACCTTATTCAGGACCTCCTAAACTAGTAAGCCCTTAAAACCTTCATAGGCACTCAGGTATTTAATGAGAGAGACTGCTGGAAAAGCAGAGTCCTGGCAGTTGTACCTGTTTCCCTAAGTACTAATTACCTTCCTTCCTATGGGTTCCCACTTCCAGATTCCACTTTTGCAGGGCTCCATGGCAGTTTCCAATCTTGAAATCTTCAGTCTTTGAAAGCACAGGTTCCTGTAAAGATGGTCTCAAATGGCCAGGAGTGGGAGTGCTGTATATCCCTGCTCCTGAATAACAGCCTAATTGGAGTCTCTACAAATTACCAGGACAGACACACCTCCAACTACCCAGCTGAACTTCTTGACTGATTTCACAGCCAATGCTGCCCCTGACCCCCAGTCTATGTGGATATGGGAAGGACATCAGTGAATTGGGAAAAGAGGCAGAGATGAGACACCTACCTTGGGCCACTGATCTATGTAGTTCAGCAATCTCGAGCACATCAGTACTCAAGGGGCTCTAAGCCTCCTCTGTAAGTCAGGATGAAATCAGATGATACCACATTTCTGTCTGCCGTAGATTCCTCCCAGTGTCTCCAAATGTTTTAGCATCTTACAGCAAAAATATTCAAGTTTGTCAGTTCTTGATTTAAAAAGAGCATAGCAATCTCTTTAGAGCTTCCTTGAGCCCTCTATTTTAATGTGCCTTTGTAGATAATTCCCAATATTTTGAGTTCTTCATAATTTATCAGACTTGTCATAAACCCCAATATTCTAATCTCTTACTGAATAATCTGTATTCAGAGTCTTTTCTCGTCAAACCTGGCCTTGCCCTGCTCATTCCATTCTTAGCCATTTCCATTGGGTTCACCAGCTAATTCCATTCTCATTCTATCCACTGGGTGCACCAGATTCACTCCCCCTTTGTATTATTAAAACACATGCCAGGTCAGGCATGGTGGCTCACACCTATAATCCGAGCAATTTGGGAGGCCAAGGCGGACAAATCACCTGAGGTCATGAGTTTGAGACCAGCCTGACCAACATGGAGAAACCCCGTCTCTGCTAAAAATACTAAATTATTTGTGCGTGGTCGTGCATGCTTGTAATCCCAGATAGGAGGCTGAGGCAGGAGAATCGCTTGAACCCAGGAGGCAAAGGTTGTGGTGAGCTGGGATTGTGCAATTGCCCTCCAGTCTGGCAACAGGAGCGAAACTCTGCTCAAAAAACAAACAACAGCAACAACAAAAACATGCCAATAGGTAAAAAAAGGAAGATTATTGGGCTTTAAAACAAGTCAAAATCTCACTTCTACCATGTCTTATTTCCAAAAAAAAAGCATCCTAATCTCTTTGAGTCTCAAGTTCTCTATTAGAAAATTTCTTGACCAGAACATTCAACACAGATTGAAGTACTAGAAGATATTTTAATTAGTTCTAAGACACCTTAAATTTCTGTAATTCTGTTGGGTTTTGGTTCTGTCTATAGGAAAATTCTGAATACACAGCCAGTAGAATTTGAAAACATACGAAAACACCAAGGAAGAAAAGTCAAGGAAAAAGAAAAATAAAAAAGCGTTATGGAAGTAGGCAGAGATACTAGCCTAAAGGGAAAACAAAACTGGGAAGGTAAATACTTTCTCTCCAAGACTTGCCAAATCTTGGTTTTTATAAAACTTCCAGTCCTATGGCCAAACCTTTATTCTGCCCTAAAGACTTTGATTGTTAATTAAAAAAAAAAAAAAAAAATGCTGGTTACTGCAGAAATTGTCATATTTATTGGGACAAACTCAAGGAATAACGTCATCTCTAACAGTAACCTAAAATGAGAGTTTAACTTATTTAAACTCATTAATTTAGACATTAAAATAATTTATCTGATTAATCTTATTCAGACCTATACCTTGATCAAAGTGCTGCACAGGTATCTCTATCAGTCTGTGCTGAGGAGCAGGAGAAAAGATTTGAAAGCCAGAGAGGCTGACGGTCCAACTGTGCGTGGTCTACTTTGTGAACTACGGAATCATGGTCCAATTAATCAGCCCCTCTAAACCACAGCTGCCTATTTAATAAACAGTAGGTTATGAGAAAAACGTGATGGCTTGATGAGCTAATTGCATAGCACATAATAGGGTGCTTAGCCCAGAATGCAACACTCAATAGATATTAGTTTCTTCCATATATGTTTTCTTAGTTAACATAATTTTCAAATCGGTAAAATCCTACCTGACTGCAGATTCATCAGAACTCCCAGAATCTATTAAAGGAAAAGGTAAAATGCATTTTAAATCAATAATGTGTAGAATATTAAAACCATAAGAAAGTACAGTGATGCATGCCTGTAATTTCAACTATTTGGGAGGCTGAGGAATTAGGTTCACCTGAGAAACCCAAAAGTTTGAGACCAGTTTAGGAAACAGCAAGATTCTATCTTCACTTAAAAAAAAGTATGCACAGTTGCGTATATGATTTAGATCATTTTTCTTTAAAGTAGACTGATGCTTTTTTACAAAGCATTCATCTGGGAGCATGCCTTGGACCGTATTAGAATTAATATAAGTTATACTTATTGGTATGTAATTAATGCCGTAAGAACTCTTAATTCCCTTTGTATTTGTTAAACATGAGTGACCAGTGTCAAACATCATGATTTCTGGACCAAAATATGAGAGGGCCATTAAAACAGTAGTACCCCTTATCCACCATAAGTGTGGAAAAGACACATTTGCCATTTTTCTCTGCTCTCACACCACAGCAAGTCATCAACAAAGATTCTGAGACCAAACATGTGGAGAGGTTTTCCCCACCAACAGGCAAGCAGCCACTTCTGCAGATGAGACAAACTGGGTGTCATCTAATTCAGTTCTCACGCTGTCCGCAGATAGCATCAGATTCCACAGCTAAAGGCCTCAGTCCCGTGAGACTGCCTCGCTACATCAGTCCTAAGTCTGAAACTCCAGAACTTCTGGCCAATCAGCTTCAAATTGGGGTTCCCAGGACTCCCTCTTTGGGTTGAATTGAGTTGCTGGAATGGCTCAGAGTACTCAGGAAGCACACTTAGCATACTGTGAATGACACTACAAAAGGTACAGATGAAGAGATGCCTAGTGCAAAGTATGGGGCTAGTAGCACAGAGATTCCCTCTCAGGACACACTACCCTCCAGGAACCTCCATGTATTCAGCGATCTGGAAGCTCTCCAAGCCCAGTCCCTTTGGGTCTTTATGAAAGCTTCAATACATAGGCATAACTAATCAATCCCTGGCTGTTGGTGACTGACAACTTTCAGCCCTTCTCCCCAGAGTTTGCAGAGACGGAAGATCTCAAACCTCTAATCAGGCATGTCTTCAGGATGGTACCAGTTCCCATCCTGAATCTACCTAGGAGCTTCCAGCCATTGATCATTAGCATACTAAAATACATCACTTTGGAAATTCGAAGGATTTTACGGATTGTACACCAAGAAATGTGTCAAAGTCCAAACACAGATTTTACATCTGCAGTTTTGAATTATGTGGTTCCAGCTACTAACAGTTAACGTATTCCAAACATATTACATTGAAAACTCCAGAAATAGACAAGTCGTAAGTGTCAGTGTGCCAGTCTGAGAAGCACAATAAAATTTTGAGCTATTGCCCTCTATCCATCCCAGGATGTGAATCATTCCTTTGTCCAGGGCATTCACACTGCATGTGCTTTCCAGCCCTAATCATCAACACGGTCTCCTGCATCCAGCCATCAACATCATTAAGGCCTCAAGGCCCAGGAACACTCAAAGCTGATCTTTTTTTCTGACTTAGAGTCAGGGGTGAATAGTGACCTAACAGTATATGACAGTGCCTACGTCATTCACCTCACCTCATCTCATTACATAGGCACTGCCTTCACATCATCACAGGAAAACGGGTGAGAACCATAACATATTTTAAGAGACCACATTCAAATAAACTTTTATTACAGCATATTACTGTAATTTTCCATTTTATTAATTTTTTACTGTGCCTAATTTATCAAGTATCATAGATACCTAAGTATAGAATAAAAACAGTAGTTCAGTACTATTTGTGCTTTCAGGCATTCACTAGGGACTTCTAAATGTGTCTCCCATAGTTAAGGGGGAACTACTGCACTTACATTGTTGTAACACAACACATTCTAGCTCTTTAGTTAAAACTGTTCAGTTCAAGATAAAACACTCTATCACGAAAAGTCAGCAAAATGTAAGAATCAGACCAGAAACAGATTCTTGCAAAAACTTTCCCGCTGCCAGTGGAGATGAGCTCGAGATATTAGTGTGTTACTCTGGCCAATACTCTTGGGGAAGGTGCTGGGTGTTTTACTTAGTTGTAGCTGTGTACTCTGCCCTACATATAACAAGGCCCAAATTCACTTGCCATTTTACCTCCCCCAGAAAGAACCACTGAAAAGATGACCGCTTTAAGAGCTTATCCACTCGGAACCACATCACAGAACAAGAGTCTGTCTCATCAACAACAAAGAAACAAACCTAATTGTTCCCATGTAAAAATAAGTCTAGGTCCATACCTGATCTGAAGAGTTCACAATGCCATGAGACAGGACAGAAATATATTAAAACATCAAATTCCTTCTTTCTGTAGAAATAAAACTTGAATTTAAGCTTTTGTTAGACAAGTCAAGAAAAAGAACAAAAAATGCAAAAGTAAAACCTGAAAGGCCATTTCATAATCAAGGGCTCATGACCATGAGACTTTCACAAACTGTATATATTCTTCAAAATGTTGGTTCTGCATTTTGACATGAGTAAGTTGCAGTTTCATTTGAGGATGTCCAGGAGGTCAAATAAGAATGTCATTTGCTATTTTCAGTCCTTTTTTTAAGAGACGAGTACAGTAAACTTTTTTAGAGAAATGAATTGTCACAACTTCATAGGCTAAAGGCTCATGACTCATAATTCTAAGGGCATTTGTAAAATATGGTGGTGAACTTCTGAACATTCTGAACTTCTCAGCCTTTAACTCTCATATAATAAATATTCACAGATAGAAACCAAACCAAAGCTCCTTAAACTCTCATATAGTAAATATTCACAAATACAAATTAAACAAAAGCTCCTTTTAAACTGACATTTTTCTTTTGTTTGAGGCAGTCTTGCTCTGCTGCCAGACTGGAGTGCAATGGCACAATTTTGGCTCACTGCAACCTCCGCCTTACTGGTTCAAGCAATTTCTGTGTCTGAGCCTCCCGAATAGCTGGAGCCACAGGCGTGTGCCACCATGCAAGCTATTTTTTTATATTTTAATAGAGATGGGGTTTCACCATGTATGCCAGGATGGTCTCCATTTCCTGACCTCGTCGTCTGCCCCCCTCAGTCTCCCAAACTGCTGGGATTACAGGTGTGAGCCACTGCACTTACCTTATTTTTCTTTCTCTGTTTTTTATTTCTTCATTTACCAGCAACAGGAGTGTCTGCTTCAATGTGGCAGAGTGGTATGCAGGGACACAACAAGTGTAAAATGAATTGAACCAGAGCTGATGGAATCAATGTGGATACATCTTGAAAATATAATACAAAGTACCCAAAAGAAAGTGGCAGAAAGGTATGTAAAGGGTAGAACCACTCACATTCCATTTTATGACACAAATAAAAATTCTGCATATTATTTCTGAGGATCACAATATAGGTAAGGGTTTCAAAAGGGTACGGAAATGGAAAACAGCCAGTGATGTTGGTAGCCTCAATGATGTTCATGATGTTGGTCGCCTCTATGCAATTTTTTTTTTAAACTTTTATACCAAAAAGTCTTAAAACCACCATTTTAAGACTGTCTTCTAGTTAGGAATGAATTACTTTTCCAGTTTTTAATAATGAAAGATGCCACAAACACAGCCATACACACAGCCATGCACACACATGCGCACAGTTTGCTCGTTAGAACATCTCATTGGTTTCAGATTCTTGGTGTAATAACATTAACAGGAAGTCTCTAACATTTATACAGAAACTAATATCTAAGTAAAGCATTTCTTTAGTAAGCATCAGAACTCCAACTAGCACATATCTTAGAACCTCAAAATTCACTGCTTTGAATTCCTGACAAATATAAAAATTCCTTCTTGGAAACGTTATGCTATTCAAAATATTAAAATGGAAACATCTGAGTTAAAACTCATATTTTTAAAATCTTGTTTTCTTATACTTCTAAATTTTATTGAAATATGGATACTAACAATAACATTTATGTCAATGCCTTTCATTCAATTTAGAATAAAAAGAATTAGCGGTAAGAAAAATGTGAGTACTTCCAATCATTTAATATACTTATTTCCAGCATTCCATTTGTATTGAAAATGTACCTGCTCTCGATTTGTGTACATTCTTTCTTTGTACTGCTTCTCTCACAACACGATGTTCCATTTCAGTGGTAGGCTGAAAGAGTTTTAAAAGAAAATAACTAATAAATTATATATATAATATACAATACAAAGTTAGTAATAAAAATAAATAAATATAATTGCCTTCAAGGAAGGATGTTATACAGGAGGCCCTGCAAAGCAAAGGGGACATATCATCAATTATAAGTAGATGTGACAGGGCCAGCCAAACATTCATGCAGTGTTAGTATCAAGCTCAGTTCTCATGCCTGGCTCTGAAAACAGTTACTTATGGTGTTGATGGTTCTTTTTGTCATCTTCTTTTTATTGCCTGGGACAGCAAGGTGATGGAAATATACCAAGTAAAATAAGAATATAGGATCCCTAAATCACAAAGTTTGTAATTCAAAAGTGAGATTGTTTCAAATGCCTATAAATAAAATAGAAAAGTATGGATATTAATGTAAACATGTTGAGCTGATAAGGATAAAAGAGGCCATTAAACTGTGGATCAAATCACAGCCTTAGAGAATGAATGTCAAGGCCCAGGATGAATGGTGCATAGTATTTAAACGTGAAACGTCAGAGGCATTGATGCCAGGACACCACAAATATTTATCATATGCTTCCCCTTGTCCTGTCACTTAGGAAATAGACAGTTGTCATGCCAGTTCAGGTGAATGTGTGATTCACCTCATCAAAGAAAGTGTTCTCAATTGATCAACTATGATACACACTTATGAAATAACAGTTTTTCAAAATTCTTATTTCCCATGCCCACGTGGCTATTGAAGCACCTACATTTCTCATATCCTGTCTGACCTTTTCTTGAGTTCCTTGATCCACTCATGCAAGACTTAAAACACATCAAATAAACCATCTAGAATAAGGTTTTAGTATCACAATATTTATCAAAAGAGACAACATTGAATTGCCACAGTCTTGATTAAGAAGAATAAACTTTTATATTTCAAGATCAGTGCAGTATTCTTAGAAAACGACAATTTAGGTATGCACAGAGTAAACTTTATAATACGTCTACTTCTAAAATTAGCTAAGGTCGGTATGTCATCTTACTCTATAAACCACTTGTATAAAACAGCTATCATATCAAAGAACTGGCTGACACACATCCCCCAAAACTAGCCAAAATGCGACTTAATCACATCTTATTCACTCATGTCAAAGAAACTTCTTGCTCTGAGGCCTGACAGTTATGAAGAGAAATTAGCTGCTGTGCTCTACCCCAGTTCTGGCACTCCTCCTGCCTCCAGCACTCTCCACAGCAATAACCGCTTTCGCTAGACAGGACATATGCCCAAGGAACTGCAAGTGAGGTGTCTCAGGTTCCCTTTGTTTTAACTCCAAAGTCCCCAAGAAACCCTTTCCCCACCTCGTTGCCCTTTCACAATCCCTCTTCCTCTGCAAAAGCAACCATTACATCTGTCATCCTGGTGCTTCTCTTCCTAACTGCTTTTTATGGATAATTGCGACCACTTTTTTCATCTGTATTCAGCAGTAGTATACACCAGTAATTTCTTTTTTCATCTCATTCTGCTTCCTCTGTGGCCAGAATCCTACTTCAGAAATAAAAGGAGATTAATGCCCTCCCTTGATTCTGTTATTTTTTTAAATTGCTGTCCAATGGTTCTTTTTCCAGATTTCTCTAAAGGAAGGCTAGTTCCTTGTTTTTCAGAGCTGTGTCCAAAGAACAGCACCACCACCGCCTGAGTACTCCTTAGAAATGCAGAATCCCACATGCGCTGGATGACAATGTCCATTTTTCAGAAGCTCCTCAACTAATTCTTGAAAGTTTGGATGCCCTGTTCTACTCTAATGTGCTTCCACATTTGTTTACCTTAATCATCCATCTGGAACAGCCTCCGGTTTTTCCCCGATTAAGTCCCTGAATTTAATTCTGCATTATGAGCCATTATGTTTCTAATAAACTTAATCAGGCTATACCTTCTCTGACTTCCTCTCCAGAAATCACAGGACACTACTCAATTATGTTAATTTGGCCTATATGATACTATCCGATGAAATTGTAACATTTTCTATAAAACTAAATTATGGCCATACATGGCTGACCATTTATGGTGATATTCCTCTACGATAGATAAAACAGGTCTGTGTGGAGAGGTACCTCAGTACTTCATGCCTCTCCAACAGTGAGAATGAGAGCAAGAGCAGGAAGATGTTACTCTAATTCTCTACACATTTTGGTGCTGGAAGCTCACCTTACCTTCTTTCCTATTTATATCACCCTGCTCTTCCTTCTTTTTCAAATCAATGTGACTTTACTACCCTCCTTTACATATACCCACATACTGTTTCTTCACTTATTCCAAGTACACTCTGCCCTCCTCATTCTTTCTTTTATTCATTTTCTCTTCCCTCTTTCCTGACTTGCCTCAGATCTCAGAGTATCTTTAAAAGGGAACTAATAATTCAGTTCCTTTAGTGGTACTCTCAATAGACTCAACTACTGACCCCTAATAGATTTACAACTTACCACCATTTTACTTCTCCTTTCCTTATCACACATTTAATAGAAGATTTTCTTTAGCTATTTGAATATATTAGTGCTCATGTTTTAAAAAATTCCATGAAATGCCTTTTTAAATAAAATACTATTCTTACCTTCTCCTTTTACATTGACTGTGTGTGTGTGTGTGTGTGTGTGTGTGTTCATTGGAAGGTCTAGGTAAAGGCTCCAACACTTTCTGTGGGACACACTGATTAGGTAATATCAAGCATGAGTTTCCGTTTAAAATATGAGTTGCAATAAAGACTTTCTTATCAATTTTGTTTTTTTGAAACAGGGTCTCACTCTGTCACCCAGGGCTGGAATGTAGTGGCATGATTATGACTCACTGCAGTCTTAACCTTCTGACCTCCAGCAGTCTTCCCACCTCAACTTACTGAGTAACTGGAACTATAGGTGCATACCATTATGATAGGCTACTTTTTTATTCTTACTTTTGTAGAGACAAGGTCTCACTATATTGCCCAGGCTGGTCTCAAGTCCTGGGTTTTTTTTTTTTTTTTTTTTGAAACAGAGTCTCACTCTGTCACCAGTTGCCAGGCTGGAATGCAGTGGCATGATCTCAGCTCACTGCAACCTCCCCCTCTCGGGTTCAAGCAATTCTCCCTCCTGAGTAGCTGGGACTATAGGTGTACACCACCACACCCAGCTAATTTTTTTGATTTTTAGTAGAGATGGGATTTCACCATGTTTGCCAGGATGCTCTCGATCTCTTGACCTCATGATCCACCCACCTCAGCTTCCCAAAGTGCTGGGATTACAGGTGTGAGCCACCACACCCGGCCAAAATTCCTGGTCTTAAGTAATCCTTTCACTTCTGCCTCCCGAAGTGTTGAGATAACAATCGTGCACCATTACACCCAGCACTAATCAACTTACTTAAAAAAAAAATTTCAGTTTACCCAAGCTTGGTGGCTCACTTATAATCCCAGCCCTTTGCAAAACCAAGGTAGGTAGATTGCTTGAGCTTGGAGTTCAAGACGAGCTTGGGCAACAAAATGAGAACTTATCTGTACAAAAAAAAAAATATCAAAATGAGTTAGTCATTTTGGTGTGTGCTGGAAGTCCCAGCTACTTGGTTCTTATGTGGGAGGATCACTTGAGCCTGGGAGGTGGAGACTGTAGCAAGCCAAGATCATGCCACTGCACTCTAGCCTAGGCAACAGAGCAAGACTCTGTCTCCCCCTCAATTTTAATTTAGTATTTTAAAACTAATTTGACTTAAAAAATAAGAGAAGAATGTACTGAAGACCAAAGCATTCCAGTTGAGAATATCACCTACACTTTCTAGGTCAGGCTTATCTGTTATCTTCATATGACCATTGAATTGCTTATCCAAGCATAGCAGCCCAAAGGAAACATTCACAGACAGAATATTAGCATGTGCATATTTCAGTCAGAAACTAGCTTCAAAGTACCTAACTGTACTTTGAGAAACTAGCTTCAAAGTACCTAACTCTACTTTGCAATCTCCACCAAAAATAAGAAAACATTTAAAAAATACATAATGGCAGCTGAGCGCTGTGGCTTACACCTGTAATCTCAACACTTTTGGAGGCTGAGGCGGGAGCGTCACGAGGTCAAGAGATCGAGACCATCCTGGCCAACATGGTGAAACCCCGTCTCTACTAAAAAAAATACAGAAATTAGCTGGGCATGGTTGTACGTGCCTGTAATCCCAGCTACTCAGGAGGCTGAGGCAGGAGAATTGCTTGAACCTGGAGGCAGAGGTTGCAGTGAGCCTGGATCACACCACTGCACTTTAGCCTGGTGCCTGGTGACAGAGCAAGACTGTCTCAAAAAATATATATATCTTATCTATATTATGATATATATATATATGATATATATATATGATATATATATATATATGATATATATATATGATATATATATATATATGATATATATATATATATATGATATATATATATTGGCCAGGTGCATTGGCTCATGTTTGTAATCTCAGCACTTTGCCAGGCCTAGGCAGGTGTATCACTTGAGGTCAGGAGTTTGAGAGCAGCCTGACCAATACGGTGATACCCTGTCTCTACCAAAAATAAATTATCCTGGATAGGTAGAGCACAGCTATATTTCCAGCTACTTGGGAGGATAAGAGAATTGCTTAAACCCAGGAGATGCAGGTTGCAGTTAGCGGGGATTGCACCACTGCACTCCAGCCTGGGTGAAAGAGCAAGACTGCATCTCAAAACATTATATATATACGTATATATATGGAATATATAACTAAATATATATTACTTGGCGTAATACAATACTAAAAACATTTTTAAATATCCTCATATAAATATTTCAGTGTTAAGATATTTATGATAGAAAACTTGGAAATATGTCATATTGAGCATCAGTAGAACACCATAGAAGATGCTTCATTTAGGTAAACAAAGACTTGGAAAAATCTGCATTTTTAAAATAAAATCCTTACTGATAGAAAAGTTCGAATAGAATGATAATGTAGTAATAAAATTTTTGTTATATTTAAATAA